ATGGCCCAGCGCTTATGCAGCCTCACGGCACCTAACAGAAGTGAAGAAGCCTGGATGGTGGAGGGTGTAGCCTCGTGATTCACATCAGTGACAGACATTTGTTCAGGAATGAGAACATTGGGCTGTAGCCAATCCTGTACATTATACCTTCATGCAATACCCATGCAAAATTGCAACAGGCCCTTTTGGATTCTTCTGATCGCTATCACATGGCCTAGATTTTAGCAAGATCCCAATTCTGTATGGGGACATGTGAATGCAGAAGCTATTCTGTGCAGCAGCTTCTGCCTGGGATTCAGCAACCCCGGCTCTCCCAACCAAAGACTTCTTCTATGCTTTGAGAACAACGGTATTTTGCAAGAGGTTGGAAAGCACAAGGGCAAAGCACTGAGCTGGTTAGCACCATATGCAATAAAATCCCATCACATGCACTGGTGCTGTTTTAGCCACAGCTGTAGGAATTGCCTGGACTGAACTCAGCCGGTTGCAGCAGTTTACACAACCTTGGGGGCAGAAGCAGAGCTTGTGTTTCAATTTAGTATTGTTCATGCCAATTTTAAAAGTAAATGTAAGTTTTACTAACACTCTTGCCTGCTTTTCAGGTCACCTGATTTTAAGTTGGCTAATCTCACAAGTCTTAGAAAAATCTATGCTTTCCTAAAACATTGTGGAAGAATGATAAAGAAAAGGTTTTCTCCAGGACCAATGTGCGGCTAACCTTAAGCACTCCAAGTGATTTATGCACCGTATCCCTGGCTGTGCCTTCTTATTTCAAAGCCCTCTTCCCCTTCACAAGCACTCAGACTCAGTTTGCAAACCCCATTTTATTACAATAACTGCTTGGTCCACTAATCCAAGGCTTATCCAGTCAGGTATGTCTGGGTTAGATGTACAGAAAAAGCTTCACTTTCCTAGATAACAGGCTTTAGAATAACCACCCTAAGTGACGAATGCAAACATCAGAGTTTCTATGAAAATATAATTTTAAACATAGCATATATATCACATAAGCAGGTTACAAGTACAGGAATAGAAAAGTAACTTTGAAGAAAGTTGGACAGAAATAAACAGATTCAAAAATGCAAGTCCTGGGTATGATATTAAGAGTGCATCCCTCTAGCATGGATGAAAGGTACATGACTGCCAGTCCCAAAAAGCAAGCCCTTTGTCCAGTCTTGCTCCTTCTCAAATATAGCCCATTGTTGCGCTGGAGAGCATGTGTTCCATATAGGGTTCAGTCCTTGGCACTCTGGTGGCAGCAAGCATATTAACTGTGACCATGGTTAGTTATCTGAACTGATCTAAGAACAGACTGTTCCCTTTATCAGGTAACAACTATTTTCTTCATGGGAAAACTGGATAGCTATGGGCAAGGCTGGAACTGAAGCTTTATCCATTGGAAGCTCTGATCATATTAACAACCCCCTGTGTCTTCAGTGCTCCAAATTCAAACTGCTCGTCTTTGAGTAACAGAGAGGGATATGGAACTGGCAATTACAGACCTTGAAAATTGTCTTAATTTTCTCCACAAAATTCTAGCCTGGGTGTGTGGCTCTTGCTGAAATAAAATTGATGTGTAAAACCTGAAGAAAGAACAACTCAAAAATTTGCAATTCAAATACAAATGATTTCAGTATAATAACCCTGTGCTCTCTTTACCAACCCACTAGATATCATGCAACAGAGAAACTACTTCCAGGCAGGAAGAAAAATCCTTGTTTCTTTGCCAAGAGAGATGTATTCCTCCTCTGCAGCCCATTGATGAACTTTTTCATTTATGAACTTTCCTACTGCTGTCTGTAAGGAGAAAGTCACCATAACAAATTGTCCAGAACAGGAGGCATGTTGTGTTGTGCCAATGTGGCACAGAGCCACATAAAAGCCTTGAGCTACCTCCTGGACAGTGAAGTAGTGAAAAAATAAATAGTATTGTTGCTGCCTATTAAAGCTGGCAAAAATATAAAACCCAATAAGAACTAGTTGGATTTCCATAGTAAAATAAAGTTATGAGCCCAGTGTTGTGTTAACAGGACACAATACAAAACATCTCAGCATCCACTAGAAAATGAGTAAAACACAGCATGCAGAAATATACAGAAAGCACTTGTGCTAGTATAAAAATATCCACAGTCCTCAGACAAATGTAAACTGATACAAAATAATTCCAAGAACAGGAACATGTTTACAAAAGGACATGTTAATATAAAACAGTAAAACCAGGTTCACTCTCTCGTAGCTTCATGCACAGCACAGACACACAGGTAGTCCACAGAAGGACCACATCTACCGAGAATCTACTTGCCATTTGACCTGAGTCAACAGTGTCTGCAGCACATCACAGCGAGCACTCTGGAAGTACAGCTGACTGGCAGTAGAAGGGCATAGACAGGCAATGCATAAACAACAACAAAAAAAACCCCCCACCAAACACCAAAAAGAAAAACCCACCCTCAGGGATTTTAGGGTTTGTTCTTTCCCAAGCAGTCAATTATTTCCTGATCCTTCAGGCACCCCAGAGCAGGCATACTAGGGAACTGGTGATGTTAGTTAGATCAACAAACTGATGGGGTATATCCTACTAGTGTGGCTAAATGTTTGGTGACCCTAGCAATAAGTGGACAGCAGCAGACACTGATCCCTGTGCACAGGAGGTGACAAACTGTCTTGCCAAAAGAGGAGGGGACAGG